TGGAGGTTGGGTGGGTGGTAAATACTGGTACTCTTTACTAGAATCAAGCTGTTTGAGAATAAAGCAAAACATGAATTAGGTCAGACTACTCATTCATGGACACGTATGCGTGATTTGAAAGCAGCTGATTAGTACCTGAAGCGGGTAAGTTCTGTCTGAATCAAAGGCACTAAGATCTCCACAAGCAAGGAAAGGAACTATTATTCGGTTTGGCCCCTCTAGCTGGTTGAAGTCAACATCTGGATGGGAAGGAGGACATGGGCATATACATAGACATTTACAATATAAAATTTGAATAAATGTCATATATAGATGAGCGCAAACAAACTTGAAAGCACTTTTTTGGTATTGGGAGTATTGGAACAACAAGTTACCATAAGAGTGATCCAGTAAAGGGTTGGACATGTTGGGGACATAACCTTCAGGTGGAGAGTAATTCTGACACACCACAAATGCCTCTGAAGTGCGAACACACACACAAAAACATTAGTTAATGTATGAAAAAGTACAATATTCCTAAAAAAGTTTTACATTCCCTTTTTTTTTTAATGAAATTCTCACCTATGCTAGAGTTGCGGCTGCTGCGTGGTTTGGCACAGGTTACAGAGCTGAAGAAGATCTTGAGCTGGGAGTACAGCAGCGTCACATCTTTTCCCCTGAAGATCTACACAGAAGAGAGACATTGGAGTTCAGGTGAAATTGAAGTAAACATTTCTTACCTAAAACAGATTTCATAATCTTGTACTGACAACTTGACAAAGTAATTAAGAGTATGAATGACAATGGGATGGCTTACTTTTGCAACAAAGTTGCCACCTGGTTTGAGAACATGTGTGGTGATATTGAGAGCCTGTCAATATGAAAACAAAAAACCTTCAGCAAAACCTTCAACAAGCAGTCTTGCACTTACATGGTAAATCAAAAACTAACCATAAAATTATATTTACTATGAGTGTTGTCATGATACCAAAATTTCAGTAATCAAAACTACTATTTAATTTAATTTAATATAATTAAATGAGTCATTATTGCTATTATTAATAATAGCATTATTATTAATGCTATTAATAATTATAAGTAAATTACACAAAACATTAGCATATTTTTCTGATTGGCCATTGTGTTTACACAACCCTTCTAAAGCATTTATTATTTTTAGTTAATGTTCATTTCAACATTGTATCAAAAGTTTATGGGTTTATATTATTTAATGGAACTAACATGAAATAACAATGAAAATGTGTATTTTATTATATTTCGTATTTTTAACTAACATTAACAAAGAATTAATAAATACTGCAACAAAAGTTTTTCTCAGTGTTATTTATTGTTTATTTACTAAAATTAACTTATGGGACCTTATAGTAAAGTGTTACCAAAATGATAAGATTAAAGGAAAATATAGCAATACATACCGCCAGCAGGAGCTGTGCCTGAATGTACTCATCTACATCATGAAGACCAGTAACTATACAGAAAAAAACAGACAAAAAAAAAACTTCAATTCAAGATTTTGCTAAATCGCAATTTTGCTACATCGCAAATCGACCAGCTAGAAAGGAACATCAAATGTTCAAAAGAAGAAAAAAAAACACAAGGTTATTTCTCACCATCTGGAGCGCCATCACATACGACCAAGTCTGCAGACTGTCCTTCAAAATGTCGAATAATCTCCTGTGCTGTAGAAATCTATAGCACAATCATATAGTTAGTATGGTTGAATATCTACTTTGCTTGACTCAAAAAGACTTACTAAAAGCAATGAAAATATTCACACAAATAAAAAGTATGTTTAAAGCAAAACTACAAGCAAAACATTGTTTTTTTCATGCACTGATTAATTTTGGGCTAATGACGTCTTATTTCAGACTAATGGAAAGAAAACATCCGAACATCCACTGAAGTGTTTATTTTTTGCATTTCATCTATTTGCATCTGTAGATTTATATTGCAATACATATCTTTAAAAGCTGTTTCCTCAAAATGAGTTTTTCTCATGCACTGAGCCACAAATCTTCACATAAAAAGTGATATCCAAAATACCCTCTGTAAAAACCTACTCTAATGTGTTAAAACGAAACAAGAACTTTGAACCTGGCTTTATCCAATGTTCATATTTTTGTTCTGGATATGTATGCAAACAAGTGCATATTTAATGCATAATTTGCATAATTAAACAACATTTAAGAAAACTTATAATACAGAAAATGTTTGCAAGTCTTCATGTAATCGATCAGCTGGGGAAGTCTATCTATATGATATTTTTTAACCCTATTCACCTGGAGTCTTGCTTTAAAAATGTGCAGATTGATGCTATTATAATACAATACAGATTAAAATGCTATAATGATGACTTGCTAAAAAAAAAAAGCACTGCACCTTGGTGATGTCTCCTTGAATTTGTGTGACACCTGGCAAAGGGGCCATTGCTTGCAGGTCAACTGCCACAATCTTGACCTCTTCACTCTTGTCTTTTCCACTGAAACAGGACAGAAAACGGTGAAGTGCCAATTAGTAATCAACAAGATTTTACTTAACAGTATCTGTATGTGTACTTTGCATTTTATAGTGCACAACCGATCAAGTGCATTCCGTGCATTTTGCATTTAACCAACCGGAGCTTGCGGCTCAGGACTTGACTCCAGCTGCCAGGTGCCGCACACAGGTCCACAGCACGACTGACACCTGTATGAAGGACATGAACAGTCGTTTGAACATAAAAGCCTGCTTTGATGCTATCTATGTAGGCAGTTCACAAGCTTTCGAGACATATCCTATGATGATTCAACCACTATCCCATGCAGATTGAAGCACAATGAAGCTCTTACCTTTAAAAAGGTTGAACTCCTCATCCAGCTGCAGGAGTTTGAAGGCGCTTCTCGCTCTCCAGCCCTCCTCCTTCGCAAGCCTGTAGTATATATCTCGTTTGTCTTTGGATGAGCGCCCCATTTTACTTTCACTCACTTATTCTGTAGACAAATAATGACACAATTTTGCCGCAGCTGGATGAGTGAGACTTGTTTTCGCCGCAATGTGACACTTCTTCTTCTTACTTGTTGCAGTCAGAGAAACGTGAGACAACACTGACACCCACTGGAGATGAGGTGGTATTACACATGATGCTTGTATGTGATCGCATGGTTACAATTCTGGTGCTTGTAGTTTATGGACATTCGGCATTTAACGTCCATAAACACAAACTTTAAGCTGAATTATAAGCATATAGTCTGTGACAGACGCATCGTGAACTTTCCAATGTAATCACAGTTCCTACAAAAACTATTATGCTTATTGTATAGTAAAAGACCCAGGATTAGAGATAACACTTTTTTAACTGAATAAACATTAACATTATGCATGCACTTTCGTTTAGTTGCAAATATTGAACATTATACAGTTATACATACAAAAAAAAAACAAGAAAAAAGTTTAAAAAGTAGGCTACAAAAACGAATAAATAAAAGTGAAAAGGGGGTAGTAAAAAATCAGAAAATGGGTACAATCGTTTTAGAAAATATCAAATAAATACTTTGTAAAGCTCACATATTTTTTTAAGGATTTATAGCTTTCTTATTCTAATACTGTCTCTGGCTTAATTTAGTCAAAATACATACAAACCATAAAACTGAGTTTGAATGTGAAATTATTTGGTAAAAAAGAGTAAATTATTTTTAAGTAAATTAAATAAATAAATAAATAAAAATTCATCTTCATAATAATAATCACTGAAGCCAAAAAAATCAATTTCGAGAGAGTGAGAGAGGTCTGCATTTGGCTGTTTGGAGCTCCAGAGGGCAAAAGCTCACCCAAAGGTAAAGTGACATTCCTTTAGACGGACACATTTACACTGTCAGCCAGAAGAAAACTTACTGAAATTTACTTTTCCTGCTTTCAAATTTGATTCTAAATTGAATACATTTCATCTGACCTACATCTAAACACTTGAACTTGTGATTTCTGCACCACTAGCATCACCAAAAAGGCTTATAAAACATCCTGCCCTTGCCATTGGTCAGACAAACAGATAGTCCCGCCCCAAACTCACGCCATTGGTTGAGCTGATATTCACCTGTCAAGCTGGTCAAACAAACCAATCAATGCTTTTAAAGAGCCAAAGAGGAACATTTTTACTCATTTTCTAGGGGAATCAATCTATGAATACACTTCTTGAATAATACATTTGGAAAATATGTGTAAAATTTTATAAACTACCATTCAAAAGTTTGTGATTTTTTATGTCATTTTTCAACCTAACCTTTGGTTTCATGATAATTATTACAGAAAATACAGGTTAATTATGATTTTCTGGATAAGCTTAAAGTTTAATGGTTTAAAGGAGATTTCTTTAACCTTATAATGTCTAATTGGAGCATTCCATAGGGATACCATCAAATAAACGAAAGAAACTTCACCTACATTTTGAATATATGTATATTTTGTATATGTTTATGCAAGCTGTGTATACATGTGTACATATTTTAAATGTATATATATTTGTTCATTTTCTAGACAGATACCTTATGCTGTATAAATAAAAAATAAAATGTGAAACTATTTCATTTATTCATTCATTTTTTTATTAATAAGGACAATACACATTAATCTTTGTATATAATATTATAATTTTATAGTATATTAATATTGTTATATAAATGTTCCACCAATGTCAATAGTGTCCCTAAAATGTACATCTAAACCAAAGGGGCCATTTTACACAGAACCCGTTTTAGTCAGGGGAAAAAAAACTTTGGAAAACAGTAAAGGTTTATCCACAGCACACCTCTTTTAGCTCATTTGCAATGGTTGGCACTTTTTAATTAATTTTACACATTAGTATTATAATTGCTTTATGCATTGTGTATAAAACAAAGAATTAAATCATTTATTACTTTGCCGTTTTATTTATGAGCCACTCAGACAGACATGTAGAAGTGCAGACACAACAGTCTGCTCCAGCCCGGTTCTCGCGATATTCCTCGAGGTTTCCGGTGTTAATGTGAATGTGTCTGGTAAAGATGGCGGTCAGCATCCGAGGCCGTCCTATCCGGAGTATACGGATGCGAGGTGAGATTAAGCTTACTCTGCTCGGCCGATTGACAGATCCATCAGAATAATATGATGCAGTCTTGATCAGCTACACCTGTCCCAAGCGTCCCTTTCTCAGTGTCTTATTTTATCTTGCATATGCAGGTCGGAATGACAGTGGGGAGGAAAATGTGCCGCTCGATCTCACAAGAGGTAAGTCAGATGAAACTAGTGAACTCCCTACCTAGACAACATTTCTGGGCATCGTGCTGGTTTGGAATGTCAGCCTCGCGGGAACCAAACCCACCTATGATGCCCAAAAATGCTTGCTGCACTAGATTTTGAGACACACAGCCTTAAACTAAGGCAACATGCATCATAGATCTGTATACAATATATGCTCTTGTATATAAGTATACAATAATTAAATACAGGGAAAACATATGGTGTTAGAGGTGTCGAATGCTTTTTTATTATTATATAATGGTTGCATGATATATGTGTCTCTTCAGTCCAGCATTGCAGGACGGTAGGGTCCAAAGGGTGAGGGACCAAAACAACAGTCTGCTGCAGCAAGAAAGCATGCACTTTTTTTTGTAATACCATTTTATTATAATTTTTTTAAATAAAATATGTCAGCTGATGTCCAATTTAATGCAGCAATTCTTCTAAATTGTTTTTTTATAAAACAGACGTTTCATTTGTTAACAATAACATTAGTTAACATGACTAGCAATGAGAAAAACTTCTGAAGCATTTATTATTCTTAGTTAATGTTAATTTTAACTTCCACTAATATATTTAAAAAAGGTATCTATTAATATTGTTGCATTTTTGTATGTTATAATGCAGTTATATTTTTATTAAATAACAAACAAAATAAACACTAACAAATATATTGCTTATAACAAAGGTTTTGCTAAATATTTAACTAAAGAGACTTTATTGTCAAGTTTGACCTTTTATTGTAGTAATGCTGGTGATTTTATTTGTCAATGTATCTGCTATTATAGAAATTATATTCTTTGCTTTTCGTTCTGCAGTGAGATTCATCATCCTGTTAAGTTGTTGGTCTGTCAAATGAGCTGTCAAACTTCCCTGTGATTGACACTATATAGATCATGTTCACTATACAGCTCAACAAACAATTCAAAATCTTAACTGGAAATTTCACAGTTCACTGTGTACATATATACATTTTATTTAGAAATAAGACTGCTGTTAAAGTTGTCTGTCTTTTGGGCTGAACACAAAATGTGAATTCAGGGGAATCTTGCCTCTTGTGATCATAACAAACATGGTTAAGAGCTTTACTTGCGTGTTCTTTGCTGATTTGTTTTGTTTTAAATTGTAATGGATTTATTTGCATGTATTATTAAGAGTATTACTAAATATACTAAATATAGCTTTGGTATTGTTTGTCATAGTGTCTTTGTTGGGGGAAAATAGCTCATTAGCTGTTGCAGGGTCATGATTGTGTCTTTGCTGATAGGTTACCCTTGAGGCTGTTTTTCCCATATGACCTCTGTGATGATGGCCTTTTCTGGATGCTTCCAGAGGTTGTCATTAGTGCTAAACTTTCTAGATTTTGTAACTCGGGTCAGAAAAGGTTGCCTTGGTTTCCTGAGCTCGGATAGTATCAATCCAGTACTTGTATTCCAGTCATGAATTCCTGCTGACGTACACCGTCCTTCAAAAGTTTGGGGTCGATTTTTTTAAATGTTTTTTAAAGAAGTCTCTTATGCTCATAAACACTGCATTTATGTGATACAAAATACAGCAAAACAGTAATACTGTAAAATATTATAACAATTTAAAAGCACTTTTTTTTCTATTTTAATATACTTTAAAAAGTACTTTATTCCTAAAATGGCAAAGCAGAATTTAGAATTTTCAGCAGCCATTTCTCCAGTTTTCAGTGTCACAATTTAAAAAAGAAAAACATCTTATTGACCCCGAACCTTTGAATGGCAGACTATACCTGTATTTAGACGAGACCTGAGCTTCACTGTTTTTGGTTCCAGTATGAAAGGCAACAGGGAGTCTGTGGAATATTTGTGGATTTTGTTTTGTTTTGGTACAGATGACTGAACATGTATCCTGTGTGACTGCTGGGGGAAATGAATCGTAAAGAGTGCAGTGTTTGTAATATCTTTGAATGTCTGTATTTTATGTAAGCTGGTTTTGCACAATATAAAGCACTAATGTTTGTTTTATTGTACTGCCTTTCTAATATGAGAGGACATCAACTGCTAGAGCAAAGACCGGCGTTTTCCTATCATTTTTTATTTTATTGTTCGTTGAAAAGAAATATTTGAGAATGAAATATCTGAATTCTCACATACTTGCTCTGAATGGTTGCCAGGTTTCTTTTTAGATATTCATGTCACAATTTAACAAAAATGTTTGTCCTATATTACATTACTGGTATATTATATATATCCGAATTGTTGCTACATAGATAGGCCTAGTTTGTCTGTAAGTTCTGTCTGCACTGGAACTGGTTTTCCTTAACTTTTATAGATTGTACATGGTTATGTTGAGATGTCAGCTCTCTGCTGTTGGTGATTCGTGTGTTGGACATTTATCACTGGTTCTTGATGCATGCTAAGACTTCCTTACAAAACTTATTTATGAGAATTTGTTAAGTGAGATGATGTCAGGAAGTCCCACTGTGTCTAGCTAAAACACTCTGCTTTTGTGTGCTTACTAATTTTACTGCTCTGTGATTGATTCCATCCCATAAAGCACTTCTCTGCTTCTTGCGGTTGTAGCACACCAATAGTGGAAATGGTGCGGTTACTTCTGTTACAGGCAGAACATTATATCCTTGTGTTTCCATCCCTGTTTCTCTGATGACCTCAGAACTCTTCAAACATCTTTTCTTCCAGACCCCTCCGAGAACATGCGAGAGATCCTCCAGAATGTGGCCAAGCAGCAAGGAGTCTCAAATATGCGTAAACTGGGCCACCTGAACAACTTCATCAAGGTTTGTCATCTCAAGAGTGGATCAGGTGTTGCAGTGGACCAGGGAATGCTGGGATCAATGTTGTTAGCTGCCTAAATCCCAACGTTTTCTTGCTCTGATGCTGCAGAACAAGCACTGTAGGGATATGCAAACAACATATGACTAGTTTTTAGGTTGTCTGAACAGTTAGTGCACTTTCATTAAGGGATAAGGGATCTGTCATTTACTCACCCTCATATCGTTCCAAACCTGTAAGAGAGTTCTGTGGAACACAAAAGAAAAAATTGTGAAGAAATAAGGTTGGCAACTAAACAGTTTTGCTTCCCATTGACTTGCATAGTATGGACAAAAAAATACACTGGAAGTCAATGGAAACCGAAACTGTTTAATTACCAACATTCTTTACAATATCTTCTTTTATATTCCACAGAAAAAGAAACGCATACATGTTTGGAACGACATGAGGATGAGTAAATGATAACCGAATTTTTGGGTGAAGTCGAATCCCCTGAATAATAAGGGTCAGGCACACAACATTTGTGTGTACAGAAACAGCTGCTAAAAATATTAAAGCTGTTATATATAAAAATGTAGATAACAATTAACTTCTAATCAACTAGTCGGTTGTTGAAAAAACTAGTTGGAAAATCCTGCCTATCCCTAATGCGTAGCAGCCTGCTCAATCTGGTACATCTGTTTAGCATTACAACACAGGAGTCCTGCATGTGAATACTTACCGGTGTTTGGTAAAATGAAGCAAACAGAGTACTTTATGATTTCCGTCAGTCGAGGCCTGAGGGTTTTTCTGCCCCGCACTTACAGGATCTGGCCGAAAATAAAAGCGTCTGAGCATACCTAAGGAATAACCCCGGGCTCAGATGCTCTCAAATTACTGAAGTGCTGTATCTGGATCAGTTTTGCATTTTAACACAAACAGGGTAAGGGCAAGCCGTGCAAATGTAATCTCCTGATCGTGCAAGCCACAGAACCAATACAAGACTGAAGGTGTGAGGCTGAGGATATGTGAATGTTTTGTGGTTCGCAGCCAAAGCAAGTTGCACATGTTTGCCAGTCTAATGGCCTTAAAAAGAGATGGAAACTTCAGATGGCTCTGTGGCATTACTATTTCGATTACCAGTACAGAAAATGTAGAAATGTAGCTCACTTTATGTGATTTTATTTTATGGAGTCTTTTATTTTGTTTCTAGCTGACCTGTCACAGGTGGCGCTAACCGTAGAAAAAAGGACAAACTTTTTTTATGTGGCTTTCTCTTTTACCACCTGCATTATTATGGTGGTTGTCAGTATGTACAAAACAGATTTTAATAGCAGTGTGCATTGTTGAATTTACTGGTTTACATTCAAATTTTCTTGTTTGTAAATTACAGTTTTATACTGTAAAATTTACTGTTTTTGGCCTTAAATGTGTTTACAGTTTTTCTATATTTTTTACAAAATTATTCTGGCAACCACAGCTGCCAAAATTATTTTGTAAAAACTACAGAATTTTTTTTACAGTGTATATATTTGATGAATTATCAGTTCACTGACAGCATTGTCATATTTCAGCAGACGATCGTGAGCCCTTTCAGTCTAACAGATCATGAGCCCTTTCAGTCTAACAGGTTTTGTCAAGTCAACCATGCTGTGAGTTGTATAAATCACCTGAGGATGAAAAAAACATACCCTCCAACTCTTTGAACATGGGCGTGTTTTCGCTCTGTGTGAAATACCCTGCAGTGTTCCAGCAATAGTTTGAGTATTTGAAAACAAGTAGAGTCATCAATGTCTCTATTTGTTGCCAAGTAAAATATATAAATGCTTGTTTATGTCTCCAATACAGCTGCTCTGCAATGTCGGGCACTCTGAGGAAAAGTTTGGCTTTACCTATGAAGAAATTATCCTTTGGTGAGTCATAGAGCAACTGAGGTTTCAGTTGTTTTTTTTAAGAAATTAATACTTTAGTTCAGTAAAGATCAAATGTAAAAAGTAAGGACATTTTTATATTACAAAAGATTTTTATTTCAAATATATATATATATATATATATTTATCAAAGATATCAAAAAAATATCAAGCAGCACAACTGTTTTCAACATTGGTAATAAATGTTTGTACCAAATCAGCATATTAAAATGATTTCTGAGGGATCATGTGATACTGAAGATGTGATGTGATAATGACTGCTAAAAATTCAGCTTTGCCATCACAGAAATAAATAACATTTTAAAATATATTCAATTAGAAAAGGGTTATTTTAAATTGCAATAGTTTCAGGATAGTATCATTTGTACTTGAAAGAATGCAGCCTTGGTGAGTGTAAGAGACTTCTTTTAAAAACATTATAAAATACAACTTTTGAACAGTAGTGTATAAAATATAATCTCTTTTTTTTTCTAGTAAACGTTCCCATACACAATTAATCATTAGATTTGTTTTCATCATTTTTAATTTAAATGAAATGACTTTGTCCACCTCTGAAATGACTTATCTTGTCTTCTGCCTTAGGAGAAAAAAATATATAAAACATTATTTCTCAGTGAATGTCCTGTTTTACTGTAAAACATGTGAAATAACTTTAAATGATATTGAAATGCAGTGTCATGTTGTCTTTTCTGTTCGTTGCACAGCCTCAGGTTGGCTCTGCTCAATGAGGCTAAGGAGGTGCGGGCGGCTGGTTTGCGTGCTCTCCGCTACCTCATCAGAGACAGTAATATCCTTCAGAAAGTGCTGCGGCTCCAGGTGGATTACCTGATTTCCAGGTCTGTATGACATGTCTTCATAGCACTGTATGCAAGGCCAGTCATTTCAGCAGTTTAGTTCAAGTCTGAGCTAGGGTTTGAGGGATAAGGACTAACTGTTTCCATCAGAAACAAGACTTGATGTTAATTCATGGTGAGTTGTGGGGACGGGGCAGTCGGGGTCTAATGGTTAGAGAGTCGGACTTGTAACCCAAAGGTCGTGGGTTCGAGTCTCGGTACAGGCAGGGATTGTAGGTGGGGGGAGTGAATGTACCCTCTATACCACAACTGAGGTACCCTTGAGCAAGGCACCGAATCCCCAACTGATCCCCGAGTGCAGCAGCAAAAATGGCTGCCCACTGCTCCGGGGGTGTGTTCATGGTGTGTGTTCATGGTGTGTGTGTGTGTGTGTGTTCACTACTCACTGCTGTGTGTGTGCACTTGGATGGGTTAAATGCAGAGCACAAATTCCAAGTATGGGTCACCATACTTAACTTCACGTCACTTTCACTTTCATCTCTTGTTAGTATCTGACAGAGAGAGAGTGAGAGAGAGAGGAGGAGCGAGTCTAATGTGAAGAGCTAGTCAAGTCCGGTTAAGGTCATTTTGAAGTGGTGGTACTGTAAGGATGTGCTACTTCCTCTGTCCTGTCTGAACACCCAGCAAGTCAGATCTTGGATAGGAAAATTAATCAATTAGAATGCATTTAGAGGTAATACTCATACTTCTCAGTGCAGATGTTATTATGGTTTAAGAAGCATTTCACTGCATTGACTACTAATGTTGACTGGTTCACATAATGTTGACTAATGTGACCTTTTGACCTTTAGGTGCATTGACATCCAGCAGAGTAATGAGGTGGAACGCACACAAGCACTCAGACTGGTGAGAAAGGTGAGATGTGAACACTTCCTGCTGTTTTGTTGTGTTCATTCAATACTGAAAAATATCACAGGAGTCCTGTTAAAAAAAATCATTTAATTTAATCTTTACATTTCTAGATTTTTATTTTATTTTGCATGATTTTGTCATGCAGATGTTGTCTTGCATGCATTATCTGATGACATATCAGATGAATGAACAAAAATTCAATTTACCAACCTATGTATTGTGAACAAATAAATGATGAATGAAACTATGATAAAAGCGGCCCCAGTAATATTCTTTTTCTTAATTGTTCTATTTCATTTAATCTTTATACTTTTAGATTTAATTTAATTTAATTTGACCTTTTATTTGACATGTTTCTGCCCTGCAGATGTCATTTAGCACACAATTTTTAATGAACTAGCTTGCTGCTAAAATTGAGTTTACAAAACTGCATTTTTTGAAGAAGTAAATGAACAATGATAAAAACTGCACCCTCAGAAATATTATTTTTATTTTTTTATTTATTATTTATACTTCTAGATTTAATTTTATTTTATTAATACATGTTGCACTCAAACAAAATGAACTAAACAGGAAATCTAAATGTTCTCACATTATACACTGGGCCATTTCTTTAATAATGTTCAGTGTTCTTTTTGTCATGGACAGAAGTGTCGGTATAAGCTTTTTTTTTTTTTTTTTACAATGATTTTCCAGATGATCACTGTGAACGCCCTGCTCTTCCCAAGCTCAATCACAAACTCCCTCATTGCTGTGGGTAACGATGGACCCCAGGAGCGGGACCGTATGGTTCGTGCCTGCATCGCCATTATCTGTGAACTTGGTAGGTTTGCACACTGATCAGAGAACTATTACGTATCAAACGGTGAATGTGTATGTTGACCTTATTTAATGTCTATGTTTGTGCGTGCAGCACTGGAGAACCCTGAGATTGTGGCAAAGAGGGGTGGCCTCAGCACCATCCTGAAGAATGTAATCGACTGCCAGCTCAGTCGCATCAATGAGGCTCTGATGACCACCATCCTGCACCTGCTCAATCACCCACATACACGGCAATACGTTCGCTCTGATGTGGAGCTCGAGGTATGAATCTGTCTTCAACAATGAGCCCATCAGAAATTGTATTACTTAATTTTCCATAATTGTTTTAATTACTATTTATTTTATTATTATTAATTAAATAATATTATAAATTATTAAATTATTAAATAATATTGCGACCATTTTATTTTATTATTCATTTAGTCCAGTTAGTTTGTCTTTAATTCAACCTTACATTTTATATTACTATATGACATTTATGTTTTATGTAAATTTGGTAAAAGCTGTTTTACAAGGCGTTTTTTTCCCCCCCAGCAAATCCTGGCACCTTACACAGACTTTCACTACAGACACAATCCAGACACAGCAGAAGGTCAACTCAAGTGAGTGTGCAGCTTTAAGGTCTTTCAAAGTAGAATTTGCCGTTGGTGACGCAAGCATGCAACTTTTATTGGCTGCATGTATGGATGTGTGGTATTTCTCTCTGCAGAGAAGACAGGGAGGCTCGATTTCTGGCCAGTAAGATGTCAATTGTTGCTTCCCTTCGCTCTTGGTCAGGTAAGCATATCTCAATATCTTTCAAAGAATATGTCAAGCATACAGGGCCGCATTTTTCACATTGTCTATTGAAAATGAACTAACATTCAATGCTTAAATTCCGCTTAAATTCTGTGGAAAACTGCAAGGCTTTCTCTGGAATCCTTGTAGGGCCTGATTTCAGTCAATACTTTATTAAGATTGATTGTGTAACAGTGCATATCTTAAGATGATGCATCTAAAAAGAAGCTGGCTTATGTGCGCATGAATATTGTAATGCATCATGCGTCTTTTAAATGGAATTTCATTGAAGTAGGTGTTTATTGCTGCTCAGACCAAACCTGTTGTTTTGTCCCACCTTACCTCCAGGCATCATTAATCTCTGCAAATCAGGCAACTCTGGAATCCAGTCTCTCATTGGTCTGCTGTGTATACCAAATATGGAAGTGAGGGTATGACAAAGGATATAATTAGAAATCTTGCAGTACACAGAGCATGCAAATCAAACAACCAGCATATTTCCTGTTTTAAAAAATTATTAGTTACGTAATTCATGTTTACAGTTTATAAATATAATAATAGCCAAATTAAATTTATACATGTAAGATTAAATCCATAAAGTGTGGCAAAAGTTACTTTATTATTGAATTACTACAGATTTGCAAGTATGGCTAAAGTTTTTTTTTTTTTTTTTTTTTTTGCAAGTAAAGAGCACTGTTTTGGGAATTTACAACGAGTTGCATCCACACATTTTCTTTAACCTAATATTTACAAAAATGCTTGTTTAGTTTTCTTAGAATTGAATGCATGCAAAATATTGAGATTAATTAATGAGATTAAAAATAGATTATTTCATGAGATTTATCACAAATATTTTAATGGGCTGTATTTTAAAATAAACATAATTGTATTAAAAAAAAAAAAATTATTATATTTTTAAATATTCTATTATTATCTGTATATGTAATAATAATAATACATAACAAGCCCTAAATATTATACAATATGTACATACAGAGTCAATGCTCAAGACTCATCATGAGGTACTTCATCACACTCTCTCACTCTCTTCTCAGCGAGGTCTACTGGAGGTTATGTATGATATATTCAGACTCCCTGTTCCCGTGGTGACACAAGATTTTATAGAAGCTCTTCTCAGTGTGGGTGAGTGCTACCGCTGTCTGCTTCCACTGATTAACATATTCATTTCCAGACATCTACCACATCAGAAATCAACTCACACTGACAAGAATCATGTGTTCTATACCCTTTCTAGACCCCAGTAGGTTTCAGGACAGTTGGCGACTGTCCGATGGCTTTGTAGCCTCAGAAGCAAAAATTATTCTTCCGCATAGGGCGCGGTCCAGGTAAGAGCATTTGCTGGGCTTAATTAACTCTTAAACTGAGCTAAGTAATGAAGCCTCAGCAGATCAGCCTTGTATGCATTTAGCTTCAATGTCTTGACATGTGTTTGTGTTCTTTGTGTCCACCCAGACCAGATTTGATGGATAACTATCTCGCCTTACTACTTTGTGCTTTCATCCACAGTGGACTTTTAGAGGTAATATATTTTAAAATTGTGATTCACCATCATCTTTTCGAACATGAACAATTCTTGAAGAAAAGAAGCTGTGGTTCATTCAAGCAGTCATTTTTTATTCATCCTCGTGTTGTTTCAAACTTTTATGACTTACTTTCTTACATGGCCCACGAAAGGAGATATTTATGAATGTTCATGCTGCTCTTTCCCATGCAGTGAAGCATATCAAAACTGTCAAGCTCCAAAAAGAACAAAAAACCCCAAAGTAGTCTGTGACAATATATATCGCAAGACTTCTGAAGCCGTGATGTTGTTTATTTTCAGGGCCTGGTTGAAGTGATCACGAGCAGTGATGATGGTGTTTCAGTGCGTGCAACCATCCTCTTAGGAGAACTCCTGCATATGGTATTATGCTCAAATCAATGCAACAGTGAATACAGCTTAATCTTGTACTATATCTCATATGACCTTAAATGGTCTTCGTTTTATTTTCAGGCCAACACCATTCTCCCCCACTCCCATAGTCACCACCTGCACTGCCTGCCCACTCTTATGAACATGGCTGCTTCTTTTGACATTCCTCAGGAGAAAAGACTGTGAGTTGCTGTCTTGTCCTAAATATCCAGAAACACAAATAGCACAGTGTCAAAGCTACGTGATTATTTCTGTGATTTGATGGAGCTGTGTTCGGTTGTGTTTTGTAGACGGGCAAGTGCTGCGGTCAACTACTTGAAGCGATTTCATGAAAAGAAGAAACGAGGCCCCAAACCCAATAGTCTTTACTTGGACCACATTATTCGCAAATCACTGGCTGCTCATTGCTGTCGGGACCAAAACCTAAGGCCCCAGAGGGACATTTTTGTCATTAAGGTACGTGCAGGTGACTGGAGGAAAGCATTTCTTGGATATTTGCTTGGATGTGATCTACATTTTTGTTGTGTTCTTTAGGACACTGAGGAGGCCCTGATGATGAACCTCAGAGACAGTCAGATTCTAAATCATAAGCAGAATTTGGACTGGAACTGGGTCCTGATCAGTACCATACTTAAGGTAGGAGATTTTGGATTAAATTGTTGTGTTTTTTTAAAAGACAGATGGCTTGAGTACCGCTTTCTTCCTTGTGTCAATGGAATGCAATTTAAAAAAATTATATTATTTATAATATTTTAAAATTTAATTTTTTTTCCTGTGATGGCAAAGCTGAATTTTCAGCGGTCATTACTCCTGTTTTCACATGATCCTTTAGAAATCATTCTAATATGCTGATTAGGTGCTCAAGAAACATTTGTTGAAAACAGTTGAATTAAACTGCTTACTATTTGTTTGGAAACCATGATTTGAAATGGAAACATTGATCTGAAATATAATTTCTTGTAACATTAATGCATGCTTACTGAGTAAAAGTATTAATTTCTTAAAAAAAAAAAAAAACTTTTGAACCCTAGTGTATGTCTGATGAACATTTATATTTTGTCTTTTTTTATTTTATTTAGCATGGCAATAAAGCACCAATGACATTTTTTAAATGTAAAAATCTAGTTGCAATGTGCAGTGTGGTATCTTTTCTAACTTGATTTTTAATTGTGTTTCAGTGGCCAAATGCCAACCTTCGGAACAACAAAGAGGAACAGATGCACAAGTTAGTAGAGTTTGGTTTTCTATTCTTAGAAATCTTCCTAATATTTTTTTGTCGCCCATTCATTGCTGTAAATCCTACACTTTCTTTCTCAGGTTTGTGCGAAGGCTGCTGTTCTTCTACAAGCCTAGCAGCAAGCTGTATGCAAGCCTGGAGCTAGACCACAGCAAGGCCAGGCAATTAACGGTGGCGGGCTGTCAGTTTATTGAGTTCCTGCTGGAGTCAGATGAGGTGAGAAGAAAAGATATCAGAACTGAGCCTATCATGTTGCTCCGAACCTACAGTATATAACTTTCTTTCTTCCAACTTGTCCATTTGTGTTTCACAGAAGAAAGAATGGCATGATAGATGACAGAATTTTTAATTTTGAGCTCTTTTCCTGTCTTCTCAGGATGGACAGGTGTATCTTGAGGACCTGGTGAAGGACATTGTGCAGTGGCTGTCCTCGTCCTCTGGGCTGAAACCAGATCGTAGTCTGCAGAGCAACGGCCTCCTCACTACTCTCAGCCAGCACTACTTCCTGTTCCTCGGCACTCTCTCTGCCCACCCCCAGGGTGTTAAGATGCTTGAGAAGTGCAGCGTCTTCCAATGGTTAGATTAGGAATGATTAGAAATGATATAGAGATACACAATATATTGGTATCTTCCAATATTAGCCTTTTTTCTAATTGTTTTGACAGCCTGCTGAACCTGTGCTCCCTGAAGAACCAGGACCATCTTCTGAAGCTGACCGTTTCCACACTGGACTACAGCCGGGATGGCTTAGCACGAGTCATCCTCTCAAAGATCCTCACTGCTGCCACTGACGTAAGAAACAAACCTACTACCCTTTGAGTGTGTTTACCTTAGTGCCATACACTTCGACCTAGCCGTGCTTAGCAAAGCATTCCCCTATGCTAACAGATCTCTAATACAATTCTTGAATGTTATTTTGGCACAGAACTGCAGGCTGTACGCCACCAAGCATCTGCGGGTGCTACTTCGAGCTAACGTGGAGTTCTTCAGCAACTGGGGTATTGAACTGCTGGTGACTCAGCTACACGACCGCTATAAGGCTGTCTCAGTGGAGGCTTTGGACATACTGGATGAGGCCTGTGAAGACAAGGTGAAGTCAATTAACACATAAGGGCAAAAGGGAGGATGTTTTTAACATTGAGGAGTTTAACTTGGCAGAAAGTCGTGTTATTTAACTGAGCTTGGTCTAGGTAAAATAATAAAACATGTTGATGTTGGAGGCACTTGTAAATTGACTATGCTGTTCCAGTGTAGCTTTGTTCCAGGAATCTGTCATAAAGATCTGTAAACAGCCAGCATCTAGGTCAAAATCCCTGCCAGAGTATTAATGATTGACAGTTATATTGTGGCTTTTGAATACACGTCTTATTACATGCTGTTTTTACTATCATGTCGTCTTAGGCAAACCTACACGCTCTGATTCAGATGAAGCCTGCACTAACTCACCTGGGAGACAAGGGTGTACTGTTGCTGCTACGGTAAAGCTCAGATATTCCCTGTATGACTACTCCATTTGACACAGGGGTTTGAAGGTGCACTACATATTTCTTCCTCATAAAAGATGTGCAAAGCAAAATGTTCAGCAGCCATTACTTCAGTCTTCAGTGTCATGTGATCCTTCAGAAATCATTCTATAATGCTGATTTGGTGCTCGAGACACATTTTTTTGTTATCAACGTTGAAAACAGATGTGCTACTTTTTATTTTGGTTGAAACTGATATTTTTTTCAGGATTCCTTGATGAATGTAACAGTCAAAAGAACAGCATTTATTTGAAATAGAAATATTTTGTTGTAAACATTGTAAACGCCATGACTGACGCAATTTAAAGCATCCTTGCTGAGTAAAAAAAAAAATATATATATATATATAATCTTATTGACCATTTTGAGATCATATAAGCAGCCTTGTCTTGCCATTTACATCTCAAACTCTCAGAATATGTCTGTTATCTCTGACAAAGCACCTTTGACAAAAAACGCAAGAGATTTTAAAGAATTGCCTGAAAAGTTTGTTTACTATCTGAGATTTTCAGCACTGGTCAATGCATTTTCTATTGTATTGTCCCACTTTTGTTTTTGAAAGCACATGTTGTGTATTTTAGATACATTTTGTGAAACTCACTTGTAGTAAAGTTGAAAAGGGTCTGTTTCGCTTAAGAAACTGCTCCTTTTCATTTGATGATGTGGCATCCATTTCCAGGTTTTTGTCCATTCCGAAGGGGTTCTCCTATCTAAATGAAAGGGGATATGTCACTGAACAAATGGAAAAGTGGCAGAAGGTAATGTGTCTTTACCATTATTTTGCACTGCTAAAAGTGTGTTAGATTGTTTTATATACATCAATAAAATATATTCTGCACATTTGAATTTATTTGCCCATAGTACTTAAATTAGAATAAAGTATGCAAACTCAAGATTACTTTACCCATTCTGTCCAATTGCTTTTGTTCCCCTGTAGGAATACAACTTCAAGTATGTGGACCTCATAGAGGAACAGCTAAATGAAGCGCTCACTACTTACCGAAAACCAGTGGATGGTGATAACTATGTGCGACGGAGCAACCAAAGGTTTTCCTTGGAAACTTTATCCTGTACTCATCAGTAGCCTGTATTATGATTTGGAAGAAAGTCATCCAGAACTTATTCAGTGTCTAAAATCTTTTTCTTTCAGGTTACAAAGACCAAATGTTTTTCTACCTGTGCATTTGTATGGGCAACTTGTACATGATAAAACGGGCTGTCATTTGCTGGAAGCTCAAGTATGTGTTTTAAAATCATTTATGGCAGACCCCGATGGTGATGTATTTTTTCATATAATGCCTCTTTTTTTTGTCTCTTAACAGAATGTAGTTTCAGACCTGAGCTACACAGTGCGCTGTCCAGTGCTGGACAAATGGGATGGCATCAAACAGCTCAAAGCTGCTCTTTGGGCCCTGGTGAGCTGCTGTGTGTAAAAATGCACAAAGTTTCCTGTAAGGGGTAGGTTTAGGTGTAGGTTTGGTGTTGGGCAATAGAATATACGGTCTGTACAGTAGAAAAAGCATTTCGCCTATGGAGAGTCCCCACAAGGATAGCAAACCAGACGTGTGTGTGTAGGTTTATAATGACACAAATGTGTATTACAATGTGAACATGGTTTATGAGGACACTTCCTTTGTCCTCCACTTCCTGATTTTAGAATTTGTCTTGTGAGGCTAAGACATGTTGAAGTTTTTTTTCACTACTGTCTTTGTGGTAATAATTATCAGTAGCATTAGTAATATTTTTTAAAGTATAAAATCTTTACTCTGCTTGCTTCAAGGGAAACATTGGCACATCTAACTGGGGACTGAACCTGCTGCAGGAAGAGAATGTAATTCCAGATATCGTCGCTCTTGCCCATGACTGTGAGGTTCTGTCTATTAGGGGGTATGTGTTCTTGATTACAGGATCAGTCTGGCTGCATATGGCCAATAATGGTAAAATTTAGATATGGCATTTAAGTCAAATGCACAAATTAGGATTCAGGTGGGTAGTGCACATGTTCTGACATAGTGGTTCAAAAAAGCTCAAAAGAAATGGTGCTCATTTCAGCTCCATGTTTACAAGATGTTTGAAACTTTCATTTTGTGACTGTAACTAATTGCTTGGAGGAAAAAACAGTAAAGAAAAAATATCTGGGCCCAACAGGTGTGCATCTTGACACAGAACAATGACACTGACATATTTTAAGCAAAATATTTTCAGTTGAGGCAGCTCAAACATGCATTTTAGTCTGGGACTAGCTTAAGCCCTGTCTTTGAAACCGGGGGCTAAAGTTATAATGCTAACATATAAAATAGCCAATGCTTCCTTTTTTATTTTTTAGAAAATGTGTGGTTCCACAAATAAAATGACAAACATAAGACACTTGCATTGCAACATTTACTGGTTGCTATTGCACAGCTTACCCAACTGGGTTGACAAGACATAGGGTGACCGAAAGTTAACAGTAAATCCCTCTAGACACTTCTGTAGTTTCAAAATTACTTTCTCAGAAACCATTTTTTTCTGGGTTTGCATGACTCAGTGAATTGCGTCATACCTCCTTCCCGACTATTTGGCAATATGCATTCTTTAGTTTTTATACACTCTGATCTTTGCTTTCTTTTTGTTGCTTTTTTTTTTTTGCCTTACTCTCATAATTTCTTTCAAAATTTTCCCCTCTCATAGGACATGTCTTTATGTTCTGGGACTTATTTCTAAAACTAAGCAGGGATGTGAGCTGCTCAAACTGCATGGTTGGGATGCAGTTAGGCACAATCGCAGACAGCTTTGGCCTGTGGTGCCAGATGAGGTGGAGCAGAACCAGAACCTACAGCAGCAGCAGCAGCAGCAACAACAACAGCAGCAACCCCTCATCCACCTGTCCTCAGCACCCAGCACCCTCAGCCTGAACTCGGAGTCCACCAGCTCTAGACACAACAGCGAGAGTGACTCCACTCAGCCTAGTGAGTGCCGCTCCCATCCACTTATTCATGACTAATGGCCCTCAGTGCAACACTGTGGTTTAGGGTGTAGGTCCTTCTTACCACCTTTCAGATGGGCCCCATATCTTCTAATTTGAAGCATAGTTATCTCATATTTATCATTATTAGAGCTTAGAATCTGACTGCATTTTATTGCTGTGAAGGTGTCTTCAACATGGTTTCATTTGTCAATATTCAGTCTTTATTTCAACTACTGTACATGAATATATCAAGATGATTTGATGTAGCAAAGCAGTATAGCATATAGCACAAATGGTGCTTATGATCTCTTGGTCTACAAAATGTAGAGATGCTTTTTCCTTCCTCTTCTTGTTCTTCCTGTTCCTGTTCTTCCTGGTTGTGAAATTGTGTTGTGTAATTTCTTTCACATGCATTTGATTTGGAATATGATGAGACTTGTAGACTCTTTAAGTCAGCTCTTGGCTGAATTTATCTGACAACCTGGCCTAGACTGGCTGCAAGTGATGTGAAATGTTATCTATTTATAAATGATCTTTTGAATTTTAGAGTGATTCAGTTCAAATAGTTAGAAATATCTTTAAAGCCATTCCCAGACTTGTAAGCGTCATCAAATTAGCACTTTGTTTTCAATTGCACCTCTTGATGTGCCAGATTCAGCTATAAAAAGGTATCTTTCTTACTTATTGGAATGGTTGGGCCTACATTTATATACAGAGGTGCTCCAGACACGGCTTGGTAAGGCTTTGAAAGAGTCATGACTCATTATCTACCCACCGACTGGTTTTAGATGACTAAGCACAGTCAGTAATCCTGACTTGCATAGAAACTGGGAAAGGGGAAAAGTTTAGGCTTTTCTTGGCCCACACTTTAAAATAAACCTCACTCTGTACTTCTGCACACACTATGTAAATTTCATCTAGTGGTACCTTTTAAAAACATCTACAAGTAACACTGCCAAAATGCCTTCCTTTTCAGGCATGTACATCCTGGATGATGATAAGTTAGAAAGCTCTGAACTTTCAGAGGACCAGCCACTGTACTTCAGGCCCAAACTCCTAAAGGACCGCAGCCCCTTCACCATATTAGCTTCCAGTCGACTTGTCCGTAACCGCTTCCTCATCTCCCTTTCCGGAAAGAAACTCCGTAGTACCAGTGACCCCAAAGGCACTGGTAGCAGCAGTAAATTCCAGGGTGAGCCCACGTTAGGAGGCCTAAGGAGGATACGCACAGTTACAGAGCCCTCTATATTCTCTCCAGTTCAGGGAGATGTCTTCAGTCCTGTATTTACTGATGGACATCTGCCGAAAAGCCCAAGTGTTAGTCTGGATACCTCTTTTGTGGGCAGCAAGACTTCGGAAACTCAGGGCAGCACATCTAGTATTGGGGAGCCAGAGGTGCATCTGAACAAAGCTGGAGAACGGAGTTCAGGTGTTGGAGACGCCCCCCGAGAGCAGACCAGTCGGGAAAGGCTGGCCGGCGATGGCTCAACCTCTGGGGGCGGGGCTCAATTTAAAAGTCGCAGCCAGAGTTTCAACACGGACACTACCACCAGCGGCATCAGCTCCATGAGCTCCAGCCCATCCCGAGAGACGGTGGGTGGCGTGGACTCTTCTACCATCGACACGGACTGTGTTAGCCTCAATACGGTCATTAGCACTCAAACTGTCAAAACACTTAACTCTCTCACGCCCCAGTCCAACCACCTGCCCCTGTCCAAATCTAACTCAGTACTGCTGATGCCACCAGGTTCCTCTCATACTTTGCCACGGAGGGCTCAGTCCCTTAAATCGCCCCCTGTCACGACCATTTCAAGCCTGACAGACTGTAGTTTCATGTACACCAGCCCTCGAGACGCATTGGGCTATGCTACCCTCAAACGACTACAGCAGCAGCGCATTCACCCTTCCCTTTCCCAAAGCGAAGCGCTCACCTCGCCTGCCAAAGACGTGCTCTTCGCCGATGCCATCACTATGAAAACTGGCAGCCTGGACTCCAGACTCACACCACGCAGGTAAAGCAGATGGACCAGCAGATGGTGTGAAACTCTTTCCCTTTTCTGTCATTACGTCACCCTTCGTTTACTGTTTCTTTCGCATCAAATTTTACACTTACACAACTTTCTCAGAAAGCATCCAGTTACCATCCTGCTCCAAAGGTTTCAAGATGTCTTGACTGAATGAACATTTCTCAGAAGAGTCATTAAGAGTTAAGACATTACAGAAGAAGTCATTCTTCCTTAGACTTCCTTTAATATTGTTCCGTTTTGGGATGCGGCTGTGGAAGATATCAGCCTGATAAGACCATAGTATTATAAATTCTAGAAATATCAATGTTAATCAGACAAGAAATGAGTATTAGAGTTCCCCGTTAATGTTACCATCCATATAATACAAAATGACACTCCTAAAAGCCCAGAATGAAGCACTGCTCCCTCTGGAAATAATGTGGTCTGTTTCTGATGGTCCCTCTCAGGTATACTAAAAAGCGCTTCAGATGTCTGGGCCAAGGTTCGAGCAGGCCCCATCACAGATCTCTGCTGCCACGGTGCGTGGTCCATCCCTAGGGCTGACGTTCCACTCTTTCAGTTTGAACGTCCACTTCAGTCCATTTTTACAATACAAAACCCTGACCTCCTTGGCTACTATTTCGTCGTACTTTGCCCCCCCTTTTTTCATTTCTCATTAGCGCTCCCATAGCCCTGATTCTCTTCAACCATGACTCCTGAGCCCTTGAAATTACCTCCCCACAGTAAGACAAAGTAAACTCTCCTCATTCCTCATTGATTGTATGTAGTTCTAAAAAGACTTTCTAACCTACGCCCTGTCTCCATTGTCACAGAATTCCTTCAAGTAGTTTTCTGATGTAAACGTTCTGAAACCGATTCCCTCAGTAGCCGCATTCCCGCATTTGATCCAAGAAGCATGTAGAGGTTTTTGACCTTCAGAACTTGCATGATGCAGCTAATGGAAAACAGCTGCTCTTTCTGAAGTGTAAATAAGCTTCACCAGCCTGTTCCCACATTGACAAACCTACCAATCATCTGCTAGCAAGACTACAGTAATGCAGTATCATCACAAGTAGTTTCCAAAATGTCCAAACCTCCTTTCTTACCATTTTCTCTCTCCCAATGTTGTCCTCCTTCCAAACGCTTCTCTCTGATCTCTTCCCTTCTGTATGAGTACAGGTTTCTCAAGGCTTTGAGTTTTGCATCTCTGGATAAGGAGGATCTTCTGAGCCCTATCAGTCAGACCTCCCTGCAGCGCTCCTCCTCAGTGCGTTCCATGGTGTCCAGTGCCACATATGGCAACTCAGATGACTACATTGGCCTTGCACTGCCAATGAACATCAACAGCATGTTCCAGGTTACTAACTACTCTATGATCCTGTTTATACCTGGTACTAACATCCATCTCTGGTGATCTGATCCCAGTCTGTCTATCAGGGCAGATTGCTCTTTACACATGATGTTACCATGCAATTAAATGCATCTTGAACAAGTCTCAAGGAGTGGTCTGCAAAGTCAAAGTGTGTGGCCACCACTTCCGAAAGGTGTCCACTTGGGATAGGATTATCCAAAAAGGATGTCAATACCAAGTGTAAACAGGCATTACAAAAATACTTCCTAAGTTTGTCTGGAACTTGACTTTTTTGTATTTGGTTTCTACCTAGATTAAAGACATACCGTACTTCCAGAAGAGGACAAGTCCACCGTCAGAAGACCGATCAGCAAAGTTCTTCTCAGGAGATGCAGATGGTAAAGACAGGAATGGTTACGTTGTTTAATCAGTTACTATTCCCATAGCATTAGTGCCTCACTACTGCTTCAGTAACTGAATGCTGCTCTTTTCTCAGGTTCCAGTGAAGGATCCGGGCATTCTGTTCTGCGATCTCAGCTTAGTATCACGGAGCTGATTGCGGTGAGCCGTTCAGACCAGCACCAGCTGCTGGGTGCGGAGGAGACCGGTCTGCAGGAGCACAACGAGGAGAACTGCCTTTACTGTGCAGGGCTCTACGTGCTTGGCTGCAATTTAAGCACTCCCACACAAAGCCGCACAGGTAAGCTGCACGTTTATCCAGATGAATATTGGAAAAAGGTGACATGACTTTGACCAGATCCTGTGAGAACTTATGCAATATTTTATTTCAATCATGGTCATCTACTTACCCAATATCATTGGCTGCGTTTACACTTGGCATTAACATGCGACCTGTATCCGGATGTTGTCCACATACACATTGAAAAGACAAGTGTAAACGCGCTTCTGATCAGAATGTTATCTGATCAGCATGTCCTGGTCCAGAGGTAGTCGAGGATGCATTGTGATTGGATCTCAGAGTAATTAAATTCAATTCAAGTTTATTTGTATAGCGCTTTTCACAATACAAATCGTTGCAAAGAAGCTGTACAATATATGTTTCTACAATATATTTAGTAGTAGCTTATCAGTGGTTACTATGTCAGTAAATGTACATATGGCAAATCAAAACGGACTATAAACACTATTACCAGCAATTATTATATGTTTCAATCAAACTTATAGCAAAATTTGGTAGTTCTGTATCATCTGAGGTCCTCTGAGGGGTTGGCATCATCTCTTCTCAGGTGTTCTGGATCCAGAATGTGAATGTAATGTAATGTAAACACAATCCAGCCATCGTGTCTGCATTCGCAGGTTGACGTCACGTAAAACCCCGTCCCCTCTCTCCCGAACTGTCAGAAGAAAAATGGAGGACACCAGGCCGTGGAGCTCTAGTGAGACTCACACTTAACACCATGCCTACACCGGACATGAGAGTTGCCGCGCCACACCGCAACAGCGTGAGGCTGTCTACACTGAACGTGACAAAGCGACCGTTGCAAATTATTTGAACTTTGTGTCAGTATGTCAGAAATAGGACGAGGCAACAGTTTACTGTCGGTTATTTGTTGTGTCGCACCCCCCCACATCCAGTGTAGACAGCATCACTGATTATAATGGGTTCTATACTATTTTGCTGCGCCACTTGCGTCCGGTGTAGACACGGTGTAAGACTTATTTGACTATTGCGTGGGCGGGAAAGAGAGTTCTAATCAGCTATTCGGATAGAGAAGTCACTTGATGTTGCCAAGTGTAAACACGCCGTGTCCTGATTGACTGAGGATCCGATCTGCTTGATCAATGATCAACGCATGTTAATGCCAAGTGTAAACGCAGCCATTAGGTAATTTGTGTTCCCTCATGTTCTTATACACCCTCAACCCTGTTTTAGACTATCCCGATGCTCCATTCTCGGAGTGGTGCAATCAGTCCTTACACAACCTGGAAGTCATGCCTCAGTCTAAGTACTCAGGAGTGTCTGGCTGCAGCGACGCTGTCTCTCAGGGCTCTGGTGGCAGCACCGAGCTTGTTCTTGGTGAGGAATTCTTCAAGCTGGCAAAAATCCGGTTGGAACATTCAGGCAATTCTCAAGCATTTTGTTTTGTACAGGTGAATTGTTAATTGTATGCCTGTGCATGCTGTCTTTCTGCCAGGGGTGAAAAATATACCTGAGGATGCTCCAGCGTGCCGTGTTCTTCTGAGAAAGGAGGTGCTTCGGCTGGTCATCAACCTGAGCTCCTCAGTGGGGACAAAAGGGAATGAAACTGGACTCCTCACGTAATTAAATAATTCAATTTGATATCAATTCAACAAATGCTTTCCTAATTAATTTTTAACAGAGGTTTCACTAAATATTGCTGTAACTGGGAAGACTCTTTGGCTGAACATTATTTTGATTTGATCCTTTTGATCATTTTAATGAGGCAGTATAAAGTGAAATCTTTCTTGTGGAAAATGAAGGGAAGAGTAAAGCTTAGTAGAGAGAGGATTTTTTTTCTTCTCTGTTTTCTTTCATTGTAACTTGTTACCTTGCAGAATCAAGGAAAAGTTTCCTTATGCGTTTGATGACATCTGCCTGTATTCCGAAGTTTCATACTTGCTGGCTCACTGCATGTTCAGACTGGCTTCACGACGCTTCATTCAGGAGCTCTTTCAAGATGTTCAGTTCATTCCGGTAATGCGAAACTTTTCTCACATTAGCCCAAACAGTCCAACAGACCTGTTTTTCTGCAGCTAAACTGGGTTTTTACAATTTAGTTTCCAGTTTTATTGATGATGTCCCTCACAAATTGTTTTTAGGTTCTGGAATTAAACTGGGTTATAAGTTTTAATTTCTATGCCACTAGTATAAATGAATAGAATTGCAAAATAATGATTGTTTTTAACACTTTTACATTACTAAGCATTCATGTCGTAATCTTCTTATTTGTAGATGTACGAGGAGGCTGAGAGCATTCTGACAGTGCCCAAGAAGTCTACCACAGTAGATCTTCCATCAGAGCCGTGATCCTCTAGGCGTTTTTCCAGACTATTCTCTTCCCCTATGCAGCAAGTTGTCAATCTTTTTCTTGGCCTGAGCATGCAACTAAGATGAATACGCAATAAGAGACTAGGGCTATGGGACAGACATAAGTGGATTAAGAGAGTCACCAGGAATGTTTCCACAGAGAGGGAAAAAGCGGTACGTTAAGAGAACAAACTCTTTTTACCTGAACAAGTATACTTTACACAGATGCTCTGTAGACATCTACAGTGGATGTCGTAACCAAATAATCCTTGTAAATGACAGTTATGAACTGTAAAGCATTGAACGGAAAGTGAAACATGCATATATTTGAACTGAGTCAATGCAAACTGTATTTCAAATGCAAGCGAGCAAAATCAATCAAGAGTCTCTGGGGAGTTTATTAACTTCTGTCATTTCCGTTCAATCAATATTGTCCTTTTTTAAGGGCCTGGGCGTATGATTGCACGTAACAAAAGCATTATTTTTTCCCTGAGCGGATCCCTCAACACTACAACATTCCAGCTGTTTTCTTTGGATTTCTCTATTAGTAATTCTGGTTGTTTAAGTATGAAATGGCTTTCGCAACCAGGCTGAGCAAACACTCATAAGACACTTGTAAGACAATCATCATTAAGTAAGAATAATAATCAGCAACTGACAGTTTTTCTTTCCCTTTTGTACCTGACTCATAATTTTCTGATTTTTATTCTTGACGTAGCACATAGCAATCCCTGAGTAAATGTATGCACATGTATTTGATGGTGGTGTTACACAATCATGCAATAGCCACTGTATTGTATTATTGTGTAACTTTGTTAACTGACTTGTGAAAAATCATCCAAAAAAAATCTGACATTTGAATCCGTAAGATATTTATTTATTTATTCACTTATTTATTGGTCCAAGCAGCTCTCTGTCTCTTTGACTTTATTTTAAACCATTAGCCAAGATAAAACTGGCTGTGTATTATTTATACCTTGACCGTAAATGTGTAGACAGTGGGCTTCAAAAGAGGAAGTTAAAGTGCATTTCACTACTGCTATTTTGCAGTTTTTCTCTTCTCTGTTTTAAGTAATTTTAGTGATTTTTAATTAATAATAGAAATACTGCACCCAGAATGTTTTCTCTTTCTGTAGATAAAATCATTAATTATTGAAGCATTAATAAAACCAAGACTCGCCAAACATATTTCACAATATTTGTATAGGAGAAATACCTTTGTACTAATAATGCTTTTTAACCTGAATGTGGACAGGAGATTTTGAATGGGCAAAAACATATTGGGTCAAAAATTAAGGTTAAACTGACAAGACATGATTAAGACTGATCCTTAATATATGACATGTTCTGCTCAAATTCAACTGCCTGTCATTCATAAACTACTACTATGCTTTATCATCATCAATTTTTATAACAGCAATTCTCAGTATTGCGCATACCCATTTTGGTTTAATAAGATATCAAAATGTCTTCAGGGTTAGGATGAATCTAGTTTAACATTGAATAAAAAAAAAACATTACCAAAAATGGTTAGATCCCACTTTGTAAGTATAAAATTGAGGTTCATATTTGAATTAATTCTATGCAATGTGCCTGTTAATTCTGTATGTACAAATGACTTGTTATTGAAGATAGGACGATCACTTCTTCAAACATTTTCTTGGCTGGGCCATTTATGTTATTTAGGCAGCTTTAATTATTTTGCCTTATTTGTATTAGCTTTAACCTATTAGAATGAATGAATTTGCTCTTTTTTCTTGTGTTATTTATTATAGAAACTAATAAATCTGCCTTTGCCTACCTTGGCTTTTGAATTAAGTATCAGGTTTCAACTTCCATTATTTTTTCTATTGTAAAAACTGAGTCTAATATGGCCAGCAATAATAGTAGATGTTACAGTATTTCCTTTTAGGCGTCTGGGGAAACTTTTAAGTGCATGTGCATTCTAACCCCTATCTGCAGTATAATGGATAGAAAAAAGAAAAAAGAAATATGGGAACTGTCCAAGAGCAACAGATAGTATGGAGTGGTACATACATTTGATGCAGTCTTTTTTTTTTTTTTTTTTTTT